GGAGGTGGTGGATTCTCCTTCTTTGGAGATATTCAAGACCTGCCTGGACACCTCCCTGTGCAGCCTGCTGTAGGGATCCTGCTTTGCAGGGGGATTGGACTCAGTGATCCCTAGAAGTCCCTTCCAACCCCTACAATTCTGCGATTCTGTGGTTCTGTGAAAGTAAGGGACAGTTAAAATGAAGTCTTTATTAAATGTATCTTCTCTGGAAGTTGCAGGAGATGAACTGAATACACAGTGGGACCTGGTTTTGAGCATGCCTTACCTAACCAATTCCTCCATGTCTAAAGGTGCAAATCACAAAGAACAGCATAAGAATTCCCTTTTTATTTACAGTGGTACACTCACCAGTGTAGATGGTTACTATAGCTGCACACAATTTCAAGGCCTTTGATGAATACCAGTGCCTTTTGGAGAATTAGAGACAAGAAAAACATGAACTACAAGGAAAATTTTCAGATACAATTTTGTCTGAATGAACAGAAGGACTAATGAATCATGCTGAGGCTATGCTATGTTTTCATACTGCCTAACTCAGCTCAGAATAAAACACAAGGATATTGGCCATGATGTGAGTGGTCTAATAGCAGCTATTATTTGGAAGCAAATGCCAGGAAGGATAAACTACCTCTTTCCTACAGTGAAATGTTGTCAAGCAATCAGAATAGTAGTTAAAAGGCTATAGACATGTATTCCTAACTTGGTTCTGACAAGCTAACGACAGTGACCAGTGGTAAATACCACTGCTGATTTGTTGCTATAACACAGTCTTCATTTTCTGCCGTGCAGATCCACATCAGGGCTATCCCAGTCAGAAATGCACATCAACTTGAATGGAAAGCAAAGGAGTTACGACTACCTATCTATTCATTCAACTCAGAACACAATCAGTGGTGAGTATAATAATCATAGAGATAGCACTTCTCCATATGCTTGGTTTCAATAGTAGAGGACAAAATCAGATTCTATTTACATATTAAAGAATAATCTTTTGCACTTCTTGCTCTGTGAATTAATCCAGAGCTTGGTGATATAAACTACTATATTTCCTTTCACTCCTCCTTTCATCAGGATGAGTGTTAAGGGATTTTGATAATGAAATTATTCCATCAGTACTGCCCAAGGTTCCTCAGAGAAGTAATTCAGTACACTCGAGACTTTCACATGAGGCAGTCTTGAAGGTCATCATTAAGTTTGCAGTTGAGATATACAACTCAGCAAATGCTGCATGAGGCAAAATAGGCTTCAGGTCCTTCCTCTGTCCATGTGCTTGTGTGACAAAACTAACTGTAATAAGAAACACAAAGCACCTAATTTTCTTACAGAAGCCAGCTGTTGATAACATATACACAAAGAGAGCAGGTTTATGGAATACAAAGCTATGATTATTTGTCCAATCTGTTTTAAAGTTAGATCTGTCCTTTAAACACACTGTGGCAATTGCACATGGTTAACTACAGAAGTCATCATCACACTCTGTGCTGACTGGATTGCCAATAAGGCTCTGTAAGACCTAAGGCTAGAGCTCCCAAAGGAATAGTAGATATTCTGTCCAGATAACCCTCATGTTCAATGAGTGCTGCACGCCTGACTTTTTAGACAGCCTAATTTTAATAAAAATACTGCAGATAAACAAGTACTCTCCAAAATGGAAAATGATGGGAAGAACTTATGCAGTTGCTGTGCTTTCCTGGTTCTACACACATAGACATATCTTTTTCTAAAGAATGCAAATTCTGAAACACTGATTTGAACTTTTTCCTGTATTCTATTGATTCAGAAGTAATGGTAATGTTGAAAGAAATAACAAAAATGTATTCAATTATTGATGCTCCAGTTTTGCATTCTACATGAATCTCCTGTCTTCTGTACTCATCTGCATTTATTCTAGCTGTTTTGTTTCTGCAGCCCCTGGATCACCAGCTGTCCAAAAAGAAGTTTTACTAAGTGGTCTAGAAAGAGAAATCATCTGTGTCAATCTAAAACGTGACCCTAAAAATGGTTTTGGTAAGTAAGGAACATGAATTTTATATTTGGTAATGGGTCTGTCAGGTCCTGGTGCAAACTCTGATGCTTGCTCACTCCTGAGGAAAGTTTTAACCTTCTTGATCTCATTTATTCTCCTTATAGAATAAGAATACCAGTCTCTGCAAAGGTCTTAACATTTCAGAGACTTAGAAGAGCTGAATGTATAAACCAAGACAACAATTTTTTTCAGAGGATTAATTAATAATATAGAGGGAGTTACTGTTCTACAAACCCTTCACATATTGCCTGTGCACATACAAAATGCATACACAAACTTCACATGAGTATCTCTTGACTTTTGGATTCTTATTTGGATAACATCGTTGTTAAATAATACATTATCAGACTGCATCCTTTTCTAAGGGATGAATTCAGAGAACATGTAGATTCCACAGTTGACCATTAATGCAATTAGACATCAGATTTTTCAGTGCTACCAGTTCCAATTATTCTACCAGTGAGAAGAGTATTTTCTACAATAGGAAGAATATTTTATGCCAGGATAGAGAAATTAAGCTACTTAAAAATAAATTAATTTTCCTAGCTGTCTCTTACATGTTCATTAGAAGTTTACATGACCCACCTCAGGAGGCTGTAGACCACATAGTGTAACACAACATTCTATTTTATTTTTACACCTTCTCTGGGTGTTACATAAATATCTTATACGTCCTGTAAGAAAGAAGTTGGAATCTTTTGAAGTCCCAAGCCAGAGAAGTATTCTTACTGATATATTATATGTAAGTAGCAGCCACTGAAGTCACTAGCATGCTTAAATTATAGCATGAGTTTAAAGCTCTCCCAGATCAGGACATTGGTAACCCATTCTCCAGAATTAACAAAAAAACACCTTTATGCCATTGGAATAAGACCTCTTTGTGCTCCTGAGTTTCATCTTTTCTAATACTGCTCATGTCTCTATATTGGTATACTGTCTCATTTTTGCAGGTTTTGTAATTATTGGAGGAGAAAATGTAGGAAAATTAGACCTCGGTATCTTTATCGCTTCAATTATCCCTGGAGGACCTGCAGACAGAGCTGGAAATATCAAACCAGGTCACTGTCCTTAGTTTTTAATTAGAATTAAAATGTTTTCATGGTTTAACTATATATATATAGTTATATATATAGTTATAACTATAACTATTCTAGGCCTATATTTCTCTTCTGATGTGCATTGTCTTGTTTTTATTCTTTTTAAGGGGGACGACTCATCTCTGTGAATAATATTAGTCTTGAGGGTGTTTCGTTCAATACTGCAGTTAAAATTATACAAAATTCTCCTGATGAAGTTGAGCTGATCATCTCTCAACCTAAAGGTATAAAGACAAACATCTTTGCTGGCTCTAGAATCTTAGCAATTGACTCAGGATACTGTAATTTATTAGGCTCTAGAATGCAGTAGCACTTTCTTGCCACTCAATGCAAGTTAATTGGTTAACAGTGAAAATCATTTTAGCGGGTATCATGAGAGTTCTATAGTCAGCATGAAAAAATCTGATCTATTATGGGCTTTATTCTGCATTGCTAAGATCAAGGGAATTTTGTCATTTCTTTCTATGACAAAATTAGTTCTACAGCCCATCTCTGAGTCAGTATCACTGTAAAAGTCCCCTGCAGTGATGAAGCAGATACATTTCTCCATATATAAAACAGCAGTGCTCCATTTCACAATGGCTAACTCATTTTATGGATCTCACAACTAGTTGATTTGGGAAGTTATTTCACCATCCTGTGTTGAGATACAATGATACTTGTCTTCACATTTACTTACTGTTCACGTTCATTGATGTCTTTTTCTGATATGGTTTTGCAGACATATATGAAGAAGGATTAAATGAAGAGAAGAGTATATCAAGGGGAAACAGCACTAGTGGTTCTGAGATCTCTTGTGTAGACAGTGGAAGAAAAAAGATTCAAGACTGTCATGCAGCTCTCCCCAAAGAACAGGCTGTAAATATAGATGAACTTGAGAAGGCTCTTTCTTGGAGTTTAGCACCAAAATTGGGCCCCAAGATTCCAGTCCTTTCAGCAGATAGCCTGGATGTGGAGGTAGCTGAGATTGTGATGTTATTTAAAAACATTATGGCATGTGTCTTAACAACATGCCAGACATATTAAGAATGGAAATAACAGAGAAATTAAAAACTGAGGAAAAGAGAATGAAAACCTTGGAAGATTTTGTTTGTTAAATTACATTGGAAGTGTTGAAACTATAGGTATGTCTAGGATGAGTGAAAAAATAGAGGAACTGCTCCACAAAATGTTACTAAACATTGTCCTCCCTCTTCCAGTGAACTACAAAATTTTATTATTTTCTTGCACTTCTCTTTAAGTTTTCAGCCAGCCACTGAACAATAATATTTTATGTCTAATATTCTTCTATCAAACAGCCTCCCTATCTATACTCATTCTATGCACATTTAGATGGATATTATTTTAAGTAACAATAGTGTAATCCTGAAATAATGTCAGGGATATAAATGCTACCGCTCCAGGCTTACAGTGAAAGCAGGATCAAACTCTTTGTATCTTCTGGAAATCTCGCTTTCTTTATTATTTTTTCCCCTTATTTATTTATTTATTTTCCCTAAAACACAGAAGTCTCATTAGTGTTTATATTTTTGAGACAGGAGGCTGATTCTTCACACTTACAATCTCCAGCTGAAACCAACTCAAATGAAACCTACACTGTGGAGCTTGTTAAAGAAGATGGGACTTTTGGAATCAGTGTGACTGCAAGTGTTACTATTAATCTTTCAAACTATATCATGAACAAGAAACATGTAGAGAAGTGTATTTACGTGGAAGAAAGATAGAATATAGGCCAGTAACAAGAACTGCTAGCACAGCACATTTCAAACCTAAGAACCTGACTGACAGAGGATATAGTACCAGCTCTACTCATTCCCCAGTTCTTGCCCACAGAATGTGTGTGTGTGCCAGCACAAAGCATATGGAGATACAAGCCCTTTCCCACCTTGCTTGATTTGAGAACAAGTCCTGCCAGTGAAAGTGGAGTCTTGTCAGGGAGGGTTATAGCCAGAGTCTCTAGAAAATGCAGTAATACAAAGCATCCCTCAGGTCTTGACTGGTTTTCCTCTGGGGTTCCTGGAGTTCGCAGGCTGTGTCTGTACAAGCAGATCACATAGGACCATGGGACAGGCTCAAGTGCTACCTACAGTCACTACTTAATTTTTGACACACTCACCAGTGTGAGCAGCCATCCCATGCTGGGGGGATGAAAGCTGAGATGTATGGACTTAAGATAAGCTATGTTTTTTACTACAAATGCCTGACCAATTTTATTTCCAAATAAAATAAATAAAAAATACATCTCTCTGTATATTTACAGGATCAGAGAAAGAAACAGGGAAACCTGTATGTGCCACGTTCAAAAAATAATTCCTTGTTCTAACTATCAAGACTGAACTTACCTTGCGAGGTTGAGGTGCCTACAATTCTCACTGAAATTGAGTTAGAAGCAATAGAGTCATTGCTTTATTTAGAAATAAAGGGTTCATTTTTCATCTGAAATTGACTAGAGGATATGGAAGGACAGAATAGGATTCTGAGGTTAATATTGAGTTCCTCTGTACTGCAGGCTCTTGAGTGTCTGCACAAGGTCCAGTCCAAGCTTTATATATTGTCTGAAAGGCCAGTAGTTGCTGAATACATATTGCATAGTTTAGAAACTAGGACAGAGGCTGACTGAAAGCTACAACCAGATCTTTGCAGTAGCACAGGAGAAGTGCGTTGCATTTTCCTGAGAAAACAAAGCATGATTACTGCCTAGGGAAGTACATTACAACTAGATGGGACATTAGAGTAACATCCTCTTTTTTTTTTTTTTTTTTTTAAAATATGTTTTTAAAATGTATTTTCTGAAACAGTTGTTTTGCAGTGCACATATGAGTTGTTTTTATTTTTATCAGGGGAAGAATATGTGGAGACTCCATACACTAACATATGGAAATATGCTTTGCAGGGTGGAATTAACACTAGTGTGCCTCATGGTGGGATATACGTGAAGTCAATTATTCCCAGGGGACCGGCAGATAAGGATGGACAAATAAAGATAGGTAAAAAGTCTGGCAATGAAACCCTGGGCTGCAGAATTAGCTGTTTGTGTGAAATACTTGCTACAGGATGATGAAATGTTTGGGATTGAGGGCCATACAACTGCAAAACATATGCAGTCCATCATTCCCCAGCCTACTACTGTAGTTTATGTGGACATTCCATTGAGGAACCTGGAGTCTCATATCAACATTCCACAGCTTCCCTCTATTGCTGCAGTTCAAGTTAGTGACTCAGACATCTACTTTTACTGTTGCTGAGATAAGCACTGCATCAGTTTATAGAGTACCCTGGTATGTTTGCAATGTTAGTTACAGAATACCATACAACAAGCAGTATTGCTTTCAAGCAAAATAACATTATTTGAAGCATGTAAGCATGAAGATCTAATACAATGTGGGTAGCCTTAAGATTTCCATCCAATCTGAATCATCAGTGCAACCATCACTCATTATTTTTATTTCCCTCAGGTGATCGTCTGCTGGAAGTAGATGGAATCAGCCTCTGTGGGCTCACACACAAGCAGGCTGTGGAAAACCTTAAGAAATCTGGCCAGGTTTGTGTAACAGAAAAGCATTTGATCAGTCAAATAAACTGTACTTACTATGAAGCACAGTAGCAAAGCTGGGCCAGTGTGAAACTCTTTCCCCTCCCTGAAACTTTGGCTTACAGTAAATGGAAAGTGTTTTTCATTTTTTTAGGTTGCCAAGCTGGTTCTAGAAAGGGGACACCATCAAGCAGCAGAGCCATGCCTGAGTACTAACAACAGGAAAGAGGACCAATGTGCAGTGGTTTCTGTGGCAACATCCTTCACAGATGGCAGCAAGGACTACTGCTTTTTGACAGATGGTAAGAGAGGAGAAAAGGAATTCAGGGTGACTTTCGCTGGCTACTTACGGTGGGCAAGAAAGAAACGAACGAAAATTGTTCTAGGATATTTCTGTAGGTTGGAAGGAAAACTGCACACCAAACAAAAAGACAATATGTAGTATTAAAAGCATTATCAAATTAATTCTGGGGAAAAAAAAGTCCTCATATTTACAGTTGATGCATGCAGTTGAATTTATCATAGACATAAGTATTATATCTCTCAGCCTTCCTGAGATGAGGCTGTCAGGGAACATTCCTTTCTATACTCCCACAGCACTCTCAAGAAGCAAGCAGCTGTACTGATACTGCTGAGCTGTTACCCAAATGCAGCACGGCCAGTATACCTGCTGATGCTGTGTCAGCAGGGAAGTTAGGGTGAACTATTGCCCCACAGCCAGGACTGGGAACTGCCATCACTTCAGCTCTTGAAAGAAGCTTCAGAGGTCATTTTCACTGACTTATCCAACAAATGCCCTGTCTTTTATTGTAAAGTTGTCCCATAATCACCACATCTGCACCATACTTTACCATGGGGCAGTTGCTCCTCCACATTGTCCCCTGCAGAAAGGAGTTCGAATGTAGGTATGATTTTTGGGAAATGGCTGTTCTCTCCATCTTGTCTGAAAAGAACAGTAGCTCTGTTTTTAGCTTATGCTGGTTTGTGCAACTCCTGAATTAACATCAGACAACTACAGAATAGTAAGTCCTACTCAAAATCTGCAGAAGAATGTCAGAAATGGATAGGGGTTGAACTTTTTTGGTATAAACTGCCTCTTCCTTTGAAGGCTTGTACCAGATGTCATAAAGTCCATGACCACATGGCGGAATAGAATCCAGCTCTTGCCAGTCTGCCTATCTGAATTCTAGGGCTCATGCAAGCTAAAGGAAGAATAAAACCACCTTTTGTTATTAGTATCAGAAGATGTAACTCAGCAGCACACAGGGAAAAGGTCTATGGAGAATAAAATATATACAATTTCCTATATACAAAGAGTGAGCCACTGAGCTCACTCTTTTTCCTATCCATCCTTTGAACAGAGAATACTTTTGAAGTCAAATTGACAAAGAATTCTGGAGGCCTTGGCTTTAGTGTTCTTCAGATGGAAGAAGAAGGCTATGAATATCTTGGAGGAGCTATTGTCAGAATCAAAAGGCTGTTTCCAGGGCAGCCAGCTGAAGAGAATGGAGAAATTGAAGTTGGAGACATCATTTTGGCTGTGAATGGGAAATCTCTTCAAGGACTCTTATATCAGGTACAATGTCACTAGGCCTCCTGCTAATAAAGACAATGGGATGAAACTGCTTTTAAACTTCACCATCACCAGAGGGGGGCAGAATTTGCATATAATGATTTTGATTTTTATGTAGAAGTCTTCTCTAGAATTCATATGGAGAATTCCTTTTGTAACAGAATTGTTACAGAGAATATTTTTTGCTATTTAATTTCTAGCTTTCCACTACTGATGCACAAAATCTATTGTTAGACACACACCGGTTGTTAATTAGCTGGAATCTTTGATGTTCTTATGCATAACAGAAACATTATTCCCTATGGTCATTTGTTTTATAACATCATCCTAAATACCAGTGCCTCAAATTCTAACTTATATCAGTTGAGGTAAGTCTAGGGAAATTTTTTGCCTGGAATGAGCAATTCTGTTCTCACATGAAGAAATTAAATGGTAAAAAAAGGATTATAGGAGAATTTATTTCTTACTAAAAAGCCATGTACTATAGACTGGGAAAAAAAAACTGTATTCCATAAGAAATTGAATGTTCCTTTTTCCTGATTAGGATGTCCTGCACTTGTTGAGAGGAGCTCCTTCAGAAGTTACACTACTTCTCTGCAGACCACCAAAAGGTGTTCTTCCAGAAATTGAGCAGACTGCCCTGGTAAGTTAAAGATTCTGTCAGTGAACTTGCTTCAGTAATCCTGGAAAAACACTACCTTTCCTATCCAGCCTTGAATAATGAAACCTTGGCTTTCCTCTACAGTATTCAATTCCATTCCTTTCTCTTCCCATCTGCAACTCAACCTCTAGAGTTCAACTGCAACCAAAATAGAAATGTGGTATATCTGAAATATGTTTATCCCAGTGCAACAACTTTTGAGTTGCAGTACTGTCAATGAAGTGACAAAGCACATACCCAAACACATCTTCTAAAAATGTTGCTTCTAAAAACATTCCACTAGATCTTCAGCCATAAGCTGCAGATACTCTCAACTGCAGCTGTTATAATCTGTGTGTTTGAGGTAGCGTTATTACTCACCAAACTGGGAGGAAAGCGGAGCTTTGCCTCTTAACAAATATAAATAAATGAAATGATGTTTTCAACTGGTTATTTGGCTTCTTACTGATATCTAGCAGAATCAACAAGAAAAAAAAAAACCACAAAACAAACAAAAAAAAACAAACCAGGAGCCACTGCAGTAGAGAATAAAGGTAGTTTTATTACTATTCATGGACATGTGTACAAGTAGTCTCCTATCATGAAGAAGCATTTACACTATTCTTGCTCTATGCAGGATGGCCTGCTCCTGGTTACTGTCCAAGCAGGACCTGTAAGTGTTGTCTCTGGACAGACAGAAATGACTGTCAGAATCATCTCCAGAAAACAAACCAGTTCCTTTTGCTGTCCTGCTATGTACTTGAATACTATTTAGTTGATTTGGCCAATTACATTAGTTTGTTAAACAGGAATCAATCAGGAATCCACTTCTACACTCAAAAGAGAGTATAGACACAAAGTCAGGCACAGTACAAATTGAAATAAAAAGAATCCTCCCCTAGCAAAGAATTCATTGAGAAAAGGGATCTTGTGTAGCACTTTCCTGACTTGAACTCCTGAAGAATGTGGAAGATGAGCAGAAAAGCAAAACAGTTAGAGAATGAGTTTCTTCCTCTATTTTGTACTCCAGCTAATATTTGGTATTTTCACTCTAAGTTGATAATTCCCCTGCAACTTCCTTGGTTCTTAAAGGAAAGGAAAAAAAATTACGCTAACTTTTTGTGTTTGTTTGTTTTACAGACTCCAGCACCATCTCCAGTTAAGGCATTTATGGCAGAGATGCCAGGCAGTCCAGAGGCGGGAAATAGTTTGGACCCATCTACCAGTGATGGAGGTAGCACCTCTCAAGACCTTGAAGACTGTTTGGATTCTCCATTGGCAGCAGATTTCAGTGAACCTCCTGATGAGGAGAGCTCAACCTATGGAGAGCAGGAAACAGAGTCTCAAGAGAATCCCATCCAGAGACTTATGCCTCCCAAGGAAAGTTCCTATAAGGATCTTTGGAAGTTTCATCAAGAAGCTGCCAGTTCTGAAGAGTTTCACTCTCTAGAGGAAGAAGTGAAGCAGAACTGCTACTCACCATGTGAACTAGAATGTGCTGAAAAGTAAGCAATACTGAAATCTGCCCTTTCCTTTCGTTCTTAGAATTTTGAAAATAAATTACTTAGAGTTAAGTATGGGGCTCTCTGCTTCTAGCTACTGCTGATTAATGAAAAATTTGCTTTACCATCTTATTCTGACTATCCTAATCTGCTCTGTTTACTCTCATTGGAATTCTGAAGAAATCCACATTGCAAAAGAGTTGAATGCTGCACTAGTGTAATCACTTATGTTGTTCGGCTGAAGCTGGCTGCATTTTGAAATCAGTGGAAAGAATCTTGTTGATGTAAAAAGGAACCAAATATTTTCTTATTTATTTTATGATCTTTGAATTTGCTCAAAGTTCATTTAAGTAGGCACCAAACTCTTCTTACTGTATAATCTCTTAATTTCAAATTTTTCCAGAGAAAATTAAAACACTCTGAAGACAAACTGTGATCATGGAGAAAAAAAAAGTTATTTTCCTGTCTTCAGAAGCAAATAGAAGCCCTGAGAACTCCTCTGAGTTATGCAATAAAATGCAGTGCAAATGGACTCAGCCTCCTTTTATACTGTTTTGGATATACCAGACACTGGCATTCAGAAGATGATCCATTCAATTTTAACCATTTTTCTCAGTGCAAAGATAAATTATCAGAACAGGAAGGATTGGTGGAAATAAAAGTTAAATGCCTAAAATAAACCTCTAACTTGTAGCTTTTATAATTTTCTCTAGAAACTCATTTTTGTTTTTTCACATACTCATTTGAATTTTTTTTTTTTTTTTAAACTTTTGACATCTAGCAAGCTCAGAACTAGTGAATCAGATTCCAGTCATTGCTGAGTCACAGAACTGAGTGACTGCAAGTTCTGTGGGACCATAACTGCTGTTTGTGCTTCTAGCTCTTCCCTAACGAGAGAAGGAATTTCGCTCAAACTCATAAGTGAAGCATGTACAGTTTTCTACAGCTGAGATTAAAGCCAGCCGAAATATATCTGTACCAAACACACTTGCCAAGAGATACAGCTTCATCAAAACTGAGTTTCTTGTGGGAAAATATCAATTGAAAAAAAAACCTTGAATTCTTTCCAAGAAAGAAGTTCTGAAATAATTGTTTTTGTTTGGTATATTCTCAGCATCGTTTAGTTTCAGTTTTTGCATTTCAAAAGGCAGACAGAACAGTTTAAGATGTGTATCTCAAATAGTATTTTAAATGTAATCACAATTTAAATGACCCCTCCATAGATACAAGCCAATATTATGAAATAGGCACTAGTGAACGATTTCCCCTTTCTTTTCTTCAGATTGCTCAATACTTTTATGCAAACATAAAAGTCTTCTGATAGGGCTTTTAAAAAGTTTACTACTCAGGGTGTCACATGGAAATTTTCTTTCACTCTTCCCATTGCCAACAAGAAAGTATCTTCAACAAAACTACTACAAAGAATTTCACCACATAGTTTACCCATAGAAGTCCAAGTTGGGGGGTCACCCAGACTCCAAAGGCTAAATCTAGCATGTCAGTGCACATTGTATGTGGGTCACCAGGACCAAGCCTCATGCATTTCTCTTGCTGATGCAGACATGGGCTAGAAGCTGTGCTGTGATTAGGCCACTGCTGGCTCATTGCTTGAGCCTGTGTAGCTCTGCCAAATATTTTTCATACTTTGAAGGTCAATCAGACTTCACTGGTATGTGACAGTTTCTGTGACACCCTCCTTGACCGAGGTTCATTGAATTTAATCCTTTATTTCCTGTCACCTGAAGTAATACACCTGACTGTATTTACTCTTATCCTTGAACATTTATTTTAATTTTATCTGTCTTCTTTCCAGTATTGTACATCTCTTCAGCTATTAAAGTTCATAAGGTGCCAGTTTCACTGCCAGCTTTGCTGTGCCACTGAAGATATACAACTCATTTCTTCCCTGCATCAGTACAAGCTATCAGAGTAGACAGCCCCTAGCACTGAGTACACAGAGCATGAACCTGCCAGTTTTTCTTGTCTCGTGTTTTAAAAGTGCCACTGGAGGTTATTAGCTATATGCATCCAAAAAGCATGTTTTTCTACTTCTTTATACTTTTCTTCTGACTATAAACGCCTTTTGAAATAAGAACTTAACACTGAGGATCTTTCGTGATTTCATACCAGACATGAAGTTTAAGAATAAAAGCAGCTAAGAATGTGGCTGAAAGCTATTTTCAAGAAGAAAAATGCACATATAAAAACTGTAATAGTGCTGCAGTGTGCATATCATTTATCAGATAAGGTAATTGTTTATGACAGATGGAAGAATTAATGGTCAAGGAATTATCCAATTACTGTTTTAAAGAAACATCAGAAGTGCTAACTAATGCCTTAAAAAAGAAAGTGTGTAAGATTTTGCAGACTGAAAGCTTTTAAATGTTTTTAAGAGCTTTGCAAAAGATTGATTACTTCCTCTTTGTTTTATAGTAATACTTGGAAGGCCCAGACAGCCATTTAATACCATAACTAGTATGCGAATTAAAATCATGATGTGTATAAGCAGTAGATTTTCCATTGGCTATCTAATAAAGGATATGGAAGAAAATTCCAGCACTACGATCTCTTTATTTTCCAGCCCTCTGTTTAATAAGAGTGATGGTGATGTATCAAACAGGAATTGTATGTCTGAAATTCTCTCTCTAACCCCTATTGATGAAGAGTATCTTACCATCAGCTCAACATCTGTGACCTCACTTTCAAGAGGAGGAAGCTCAGAGACTCTCTCCACAACCTTGGTGACCCCACAACCACGTGCCTGTGGCCCTTTCTCATCATCCCTGCCTGCTAGAGACACACAGAACAGTGACAGTGAATGGGAAGACATGGAGGAAGAGAAGGAGGAAAAAGAGGATTGCACTAGGGTATGTAATTGGCACAAGATTATTAACAGGTAGACAATGACATGGGAAATGTGACAGCTTTAAGAATGTGTCATTCTTAAAAAAATTAGTTTTAACCCATTATCTATACTATTTCTGCATAACTTCTCTCACTTTCCAGAAATGTCCAAATTTTACTGTATGCCCAGCTCTACAGAACACTTTACTATTTCCTTTAAGGCTCTTTCCTTGCTCTTGAAATCTTACTGTTTTTTTAACTTACCATCATTCTGCAGTATTATTCCCAGTGTACAAAGGCCTAAGGCCTATCCTTAAATTAATGGGAGTCAGCTATTCAGTAATTTTTTACCATGTTTTAAACTCATGTGCAAAATCACTTTGTTACAATACTACTATTGTAATGTCCCAATAAGAAACTCCTATACTAATTACTATTCAAAATACAGGGATCAGTCCTGCCAAAAGCTGAACATCTTGCATTCCTGCTGATGCTAATGAGCTCCTAATTCCTACTAATTTGAGAACATTGAGAATAAAATTTAGATCCAACCATTTATTTTAGTGGGAAAGCAATAGCAACTGAAATCTCTAAACTCTGTTGTAACATTTGTCAGCTCTGAGGACTCCATGCCATTTTATGCACTTAAAATGCCAAAATTTCAGTTCCTGATAGCATTCCATGCCTTATTAGGCCCTGTCAATCAATCACTATGAAGCTCCACAAGGTATAAAGAAATAAAATTAATTCTGGAACAATAGTAGTGACAGATCAGAGAAATCCTTACGTATGTTGCTTATTTATACCATCTGAGCATCTGATTCCTATTTGCATATAAAACATAATGGAAGATGTTAACGAAGCATATCTTGTGTTTACTTTAATAGGAAATGGAGGTCTTTGTGACTTTGACAAGGTTAGAGAACAATGGTTATGGATTCTCAGTGGTTCTTAACAAAGTGGACAACTGTCTTTATGTTGATGAAATCTTGCATGAGCCTGCCCTGTCAGATGGACGGCTAAGAAGGGGAGACAGAATCATTATGGTACAGTAATCCTTTGAATTTAAACAGAGGGGAAAGTATTTGCAGATCAATGTCATTTAGCTTTAGAAATTTTCCTTTTATAGGGCCTAGTTTATCACATTTATGCATGCAAGTGCAAATGAATCATATAATAAATATAATTCTGCTGACTTCAGTAGAATAAGCTTCAGACTGAATAGATTGTATGGCAAAACCTAAGAATCATCTAGCAGTAGTGCAGTACAGCTGAGACACTAAATGTCTTCCTAATTAAGTGATATAAACTGCACTAATGTGCACAAAAGATGCAGAACCTATGTCCTGTGTAATGTATGAACAAAACCTTTTTTGAAGTTCATCTTCATTAGACTTGCCTTCCTTCCTTTTTGCTACAGGACCTCAAGTTTCAAGGAAAAAAAGATAATTTTATGAAGACAGAACATTCAGGAAAACAAAAGTTCAAAGACAAATCTTACTGCAATTGTAACTTTTTAACTGATGCATGCTTTCACAGACATTAGGTGCCACAGCAAAGTAATGATATGAGAATGAAAACTAATTTAAGCTCATATGCAATATTTGGAGTGGAGGGAAAAGTATGATGATAGTCAATGAAATCTATGGTTTGTCATTTAGGTGAATGGAATTGATGTCACATCTTTACAATGCAATGAAGCCCTGAGTTTGCTGCAGAGCTCTCCTCCTGATCTGCACCTCGTGGTTGGTCGTGCTGGCAGCGATCCGTGTCCTTCTGTTAGGCCAGATGACATTCCTGAAATCACTCTCACAAAAGGTGCCAATGGACAGCTAGGTGTGTAGTAAATACTATGCATACTATTTTAGACAAAGATTATAGTGGTGATATGATAATCATAGGGCAATTGTGGTCTTTGATCAGTATGATCCTAAGTGCCCTTGATACCTCTCTCCTCCATCAACATGATGATGGGCTGGAGAACTTTCTTTTCAATAGAACCATAAAGGGAAGACAAATAACTCTTATTAGACAAATTAAGCTGTTGGAAGAACTATATCTGTATGATCACACTATCAGCTGAAGTTTCTACCACATCTTTGGTCTCATGTTTTTATGTTATTCAAATACAAAGAGTTGCTAGAAATTGTTGATAGATGCTGA